ACAAATCATCAAGAAGATCATGACCAAGTAGGTTTCATCCCCGGGATCACAGGATGGTCCAACATATGGAAAGCAGTGAGTGTCATACATCATATAAAGAGAAGGACAAAAATTACATGTGATCTCAACAGGCACAGAAAAAGCCTATGACAAAACCTAGCCTTTGTTCATGATATAAACCCAGAATAAAGTAGGCACAGGAGAACATTATCTCTATCTGATAAAATTCATGGCAAGCCTTCTGCCAACATCATACTAAAGATGGAAATTTCAGAAGCTTTTTCTATAAAATCAGGAATAAAACAGATATCCATACTATGTATACCACTACTATTCTAGAGAGTATTCAGATATTTAGCTAGATAGATAAGATTAAAAAAATTATACACACACACACACACACACACGCATATGGAAAAAGCCAAAATACCTTATTTGTACAAGCTACTTTGGTTTACATAAAGGATCTGAAAATTTCCACCAAAACACTCCCAGAACTAATCAATCAATTCATCAAGTTAGCAGCATACAAAATCAACATACAAAAATCAATAACATTCATGTAAGCCAATAATGAACCCACTGAGACAGAAATTAGGAAAACAATACCATTCACAATAGTTTCAAATAAAATTGTAAGCCAGGTGTGGTGGTGCATGCCTATAACCCCAGCATTCCGGAAGCTGAGGCAGAGGATCATTGTGAGTTTCAGGCCAGCGTGGGCTAAAAAGTGAGCCCCAGGCCAGCCTGAACTGCAACCCTGTCCCAAAACAAAACAAAGATACTTAATAATTAACAAAATGAAGTAAAATAACTCTATAACAACAATAACAAAAAATGCCATTCTGAAAATGGAGATCAAAAAGGACATCAGAAAATCAAAATATATCCCTGGTTCCTAGATGGGCAGAACCAATATTGTCAGAATAGCCACACTACCCAAGTCAATACACAGATTTAAGGCAATTCCAATCGAAACACCAACAGAATTCTTCACTGAACTAGAAAAAGCCACGTTACAATTCATGTGGAACCAGAAGAGACCTATAATACCAAAATAAATCCTGGACAACAAGAGCAGGAAACATCACAATCTCAGATTTCAAGTTATATTACAAAGCTTCAGTAATTAAAAATAGCATGATACTGTGGGGGAGGGACAGCCATATGGATTAATGATGCAAAAAACAGGACGTAGAAACAACCCCAGGAACATTCAACCATCTGATCTTTGACAAAGAGGTCAAAAAATACATTGTAGGAAAAATAGCCTTTTAAACAAATGGCTCTGGGAAAACTGGTCATACACATGCAGAAGATTAGTGTAGACTCTCACCATGACTAAAATAAAATTGAAGTGGATCAAAGATCTAAATATTAAAACATAAACATTTAATTTTGGAACATAAAAGATATAATATTCTTTTTGATTTTAAAGATAATAAAAAAGATGCAGAATTTCAAAACAAGATGATAGGAAATTAACAATGGTCATTATAATGCATATTGTTATTTTCAAACTTATTGCTCAAATTACCAAATATAGGCATATAAGATTAATCAAATAATATAAACACTAACTGTTCCTTTCACTGAACTAATAGAAATTAATTGTACTATTATCTTAGCTATCTTATGTTTGTGTCCGTACATACATATATATATATATATATATGTATATATAAAATTTCTTCTTTTCTCCTTTCCCCCTTCTCAGTTGTTCTTTCCTTTTGAGCAGGTTACTGCCCTTTCACAATATCTATTTTAGCTTTTGTATCTTATTTGCTCTGTTAGTTTCTTACACTAGGGAGACAATATGATGTTTACACATGCAAGTCTGATTTATTTCACTGAAGCCACAGACATAGACAAAGACTTTCTGAACAAGACCAGAGTTGCAAAAAATAATAACATCAAGAATCAGCAAGTTATTTCATATCAGTAAAACAAATTCTTCACAGGAAAGGAAACAACCAACAGAGTGAAGATATAATGTAGATAATGGAAAAAAAAATGTTACCTGCTACTCCTTGCTCAGAGCACTAATATCTAGAATACAAAAGAACTCAAAGGAATGAGAACCCCAAAGGAAAAGACCCAATCAAAACTTCCACACCTTAAGTAAATATACACTTCTCAGAACAAGAAGTATAAGTGGCCAGTAAACAAATAAAAAATTGTTTCTCATCTCTGGCCATTAGAGAAATGCAACTCAAGCAACACCAAGATTCCATCTGACCTCAGAAAGAAATCAAGAAATTAAATAATAAATGCTGGCAAGGCTGTAGGAGAAAAGAAATACTTTTGTACTGTTGGTGGTAACATATAAAGAATTTTTAAAAATCAAGACTCCAAATTCAAAGACCCAATCCAAAAATGAGCATCTGAGATGAATACAACTTCACAAATGAAGAGATACAAGTAGCAAATAAGTATATGAAAAAATGCTCAACATCATTGGTCATCCAAGAGATGCAACTTAAAACAAGGCTGAGATACTTTCTCACGCCAGAAAGGATGACTATCATCAAGAAGCGAACCAAGAACAAATGCCAGTGAGACTGTGGGGGAAAAGGAGCCCTTCTCCACCATTGGTGGGAATGAAGACTGGTACAACCACTATGGAAAGCAGTACAGAGATGCCTCAAAAAATAAAAATAAAAATTCCACTTGAGCCAAGTATTCACCTTCTAGATATCTTCCTGCAAGAGTTAAACATAGTATATGTTAGTCATATATCAGTACCCATGAGTACAGCAGCACAATTCATAGCCAAATCTTGGAAACAGCCTGGATCCATCAACAGATGAATGGATTAAAAATGTATTTATATACAAGGGAGTACTACTCTGCTATAAAGAAGGAAAACCTTAAGTTATTTATAGGAAAATGGATATTCCTTGAGACCGCATAGTTAAGTCAAATAAATGAGACACACAAACTTAAATATTGTATTGTTTCTCTTGTATGAGAAATCCAAGGTATAATTTAAAAAGCAAAATTAAAAGTAGATAATACTTTTATTACAGGGAAATAGATTTTTTTGCAAACAGAATAAGATCAAGAGATAGAGTTGGAAGGAGAGGAAAAGAAGTAAAAGAATGAAGACATGTGATGTGCACATGCCAGCTCTCCACAATGAATGACATTATCACATATTGCAAACACACACTAATAAAATAATGAATAATTTTTTAAAAAATAATTCTTCCTCCCTTACCAATGAAACTGTAAAAATTGTCTTTTTCTCTGCAACAGCAGTTACAAGTCTTTGGAAGAGAATTGTCTAAGCTAGTGATAGAGAAATTTAGAGACTATGGCCCAAACTGCAACACCAAGCCCACTGGTTCATGGCAAAGCACTAACACTATAATTAAATCCAAATACTGTGGTGTTAGTTTAGGAAAAAGAACTTGTACATTAACGTGTGTATGCCATAGGTTCTCCACCACTGGTATAAGCCCTTCCAGGAAAGAAATATTATACTACTCTTCTTATGGGAGCAGTAGAGATTAAACACAAAAATAGTTGAGTGCTCCAAGGTTTACACCCAATCATTCTTAAGAGTGTGTAAAGCACAGGCAAGCCCATGAACTCTTCTATATCCATTAGAGATCTCAGCCATACCTGTATCTATTAAAACGGAAAACAGGGACTCTAATCCAGCAAACCCTCTTCTAGGATTTATTGCATGCATAAAATGACATGTATAATAAAGTATTTACTTCAGAATTTTTTTTAATGTATTTGGTGCAGGGTCTCACTATGCAGCTCAGACTTGCAGTGATCCTCCTGTTTTCAGCCTCCCCAGAGCTGGGATTACGGGTGTGAGCCACCATGCCCGGGGTGCCTGGGGGTGGGGCCAGCATGGCATGTGGTGCCAGATATCAAGCCCCAGTCCCTGCACTTGCCTAAGCAGGCACTTAGTCTGCTGAGCTATCTCACCATCCCTAGAACTGTTTATAATGATGAAAAATTGGAAGTAAACTAAAAGTCCTTTGAGGATATATATATATATATATATATATATATATATATATAATTTGTCCATATATCTATTATTTAGCCATACAAATGAATGTAGAAATTATCTATATAATTTGTAGAGTGATCAACAAAATTACTATCAAGTGAAAAACTTGGTATAATCATTATATGTGTAATGAGTTGTTATTTGTATAAAACAGATGAAAATATTTATTAAAAAATCTCATAAATTCCTGGAATAACTACATAGCATATTCACATTCAAAAACTGATTCTCCAGGAAGGCGAGCTAGAGAGAGGTAAGAGGTAGGCGAAAAGTGTTATCCTCACTTAGTATCTTTTCAATTTCTATCAGTATCATTCATACTTAAAATATATCCAATTGCTTCTAAAAGCCAAGGAAACTTTTGCTGCAGTTCAGTTTTCCCCTCAAGAAAAATGAAGTAAATCCTATATAAAACACTCATAATCCATCCAAAAGTAGCTGATTAGTAGTAAAGAAATGAAGTTGGTTTTTATCAGTTTGAGAAAAGAATTTGTTCTTGCTTTAGCAGTTTACAATTTTGTATTAATAAATGAACAACATGACTTACTAATGAATATATGAATTATGACAGAGAGTTTCACTGAAATTTTCTGCAATCTATATTTATATCTATATATCATTGTTTTACTACTTTGGGGGTATTTTATCTATTCCGTGGAGGCTTCCATGTAAGAACATATAGTAAATGCCACTACAGCCCTGATTGATCCATAATGATACATAAAAATGAACCCTTCCATGGGAAGATAAAATTGTTATTTACATCAAAGCTTTACACAATGCCCAAGCACTGTTGCACACTTAGAAAAATTAGAAACCAATAGTAATAACCAAAAAAAAATTGTAAGAATATCATTACATTTACAAAAGCTCTGGAGTCATTTCACACCAATTATAATTAAGCTCTAATTGTAATTATCCTTAACTTCCTCTATTTTGCACACTTCAGATTAAATAGGTCACTTACCTGAGGGAATGATAAAAGAGTTCAAAGTATTGTTGCCCTTTTTACAAATATATCCCAGTTTCTGAACACATTCCAGGTTTTCCCACTTAGCATTTTTTCCAGGATTTAGGGACACGCAGCTTTTTCCAGGTTCCGCTGATGGACTTCCTTTGAGAAAACAAGAGTTAAAGTGGGCTATGACAGGGATTCCAAGCCAATAGCTCTCCCCAGCCCCGAGTCTTGATCCTTGAGATTTAATGGATCCCCAGTCTGTCTTCTGCTACACATTCACAAATAAATATTTACTGACTGCAGAGCAAAAGACATGATGGGTATCTATTTGTGTCCTTCTTGGTGGATCATTCCACTACCTAAAATGTTGATGAGAAAAGTATACTACTTTAAACTAACTGCTTTCCCCATCAACTAGTAATGAATCTAAATCTTCAACTTCAAGCAGTTGTCACATTGTATTACATTATGTATCACAGAGAGGTACTTAACAAAGAGAATACATGACCCTTCAAACAAGACATGTTAAACACAGTTGATACACTGAAAAAAACAAAAAAAAAAAAAAAAAAAAAAAAACCTAAGTCAAGCTAACAGCAGAACCAGGCTAGAGAAGCTCTGGACATAGAGAAACCTCCGATCAGACAGAAGAAAAAAAAAAAAAAAAAAAGGATGGGCAGGGGCAGTGGTAACTGAAAGGAGAGCTGGAATTACAATACACCATCTTCAGCTCAACCCACTGCAGAATACTTCCAGGAGCGAATGTCTTATTCATTTCTTAATGAAACCTGGTTAAAGAAGCAGAACCAGCATTGCTAATGCAATGCACACGTGCATGGACGCCTGCATTTTTTATGCTCTTTGCTACTCTGGCACACGGTTTTAAGACCAGTGCTCCAGCGCCAGCTGCCTCTCACAGAAGGAAGAAATAAGCTACACTCCTCTAGAGTTGCTGCTTTGAGACTTCCGCTACGTGTATGAACTGTCTCTCCTTCACTTACCCTTCCTGAAAGATGGAAATCACACTACCTGTTCCATCGGGTCTTTATCAGAAAAACTTTCAGGTTACTTCATTAGTACACAAGGAAATACTACAATGACAGTTTTAAAATGTTCATATTGTGAACAAAAAACAGAACAGATAAGGTGTCAGTGCTAGAAAGAAACTTCCCAAACTCATACACTGCATAGCCAATTGTCATTCATATATTCATTAGTAAGTCATGTTGTTCATTTATTAATACAATAATACTATCAGCTTTTAGATATTAGTGCTCTCTCATCATTTATGTAAAATTTATGTAAAATATCCTCACTTGAAATATAAATGTAGATGCAGTACTTAGCAAATGCTCATTAGACATGATTGATTGAGCAATTTATATAAAAACAACTTATAATATTCCAAAAAGTTTCTAATTTTAGTTTTAAAAATCATGCTTTCAGAAGTAAATTTAATCATGCACTCAGTTCTCAGGAATTTGGAAAATTTGAGAAAAACTTTTTATTTCTTTTTATATTAATATTCTACTTTCATATCTTCATTTGCACCAAAATTAGCCCCGAGTTCTCTCACTGAACTCTTAGATGCAAAATTAAATATTATCATCCTTGCTTTCAAAATTAATAAGAAAATGACCTGCTTAATGTTGTACAACTTAGCTGCTAAGAGAATAAACTCTAGTCTCCTAACAGATTATTATTGTTTAATGATCTATTTAAGTTTCACTGGGGGGCTGGGGAGATAGCTCAGTAGAATAAGCACCTGCTTGGCAAGTGCAAGGGCCTGAGTTCAATCCCCAGTTCTGCAAAACAAAAAAAAAGTTTCACTGGTATTCTTCAACTTAAGTGAGTGCATGAGTAGGAATAGAACAAATATTTACTTATAAAAAGGAATATCTTATATTGTCTTATAGTAATATTCACTTCCCATGAATAAAACTATCATTTTAAGATTCAGGAAGCTGGCTGGTGGAGTAGCTTAGTGGGTAAACAAATTTTAAAAAAAATGTATTTAGGTATTGCAGGGTCTCACTACACAGCTCAGATTCAGTCGTGATTTTCCTGTTTTCAGCCTCTCCAGCACTGGGATTACAGACATGTGCCTCTCTGCCCAGACCCTATGGTCAGTTTAGCCTGCCCTGGGGGCAGGGCTGGTGTGGCATTTGGTGCCGGGAATCAAACAGCTATCCCTATGCTTGCCTAAGCTTGCCTAAGCAAGCACTTTAGTCTGCAGAACTATCTCAGCTGCCCAGCAAGCAAATGCTTAGCACAAAAAAATAATAATAATAATGCAAACAGCTCTGTGCCACAATGCATTAAAAGCAGAATTTCATAGTAAAATCTAATCAATTTTAAAAAAAAATTAAGTCCTGAAAATTTTCCTCATGCTTTTATGTGTATTTGGAATACTATTTAATCAAAGATTTTCTTCTTTCCTTCCTTTCTTTTTTTTCTTTTCTTTCTTTTAATGCATTTTGTACAGGGTCTCACTACGCATCTCAGACTAGTAGTGATCCTCCTGTACTCAACCTCCCCAGCACTGACATTACAGGCTTGAGCTACACCTGGTCTCCAAGGATGGCTCAGTGCACCTGGGGGCAGGGCCAGCATGGCCTGTGCTGCCAGGAGTTGAATCTTGGTCCCTTCACTTGCCCAAGCAGGTGCTTAGTCTATATTGCTAGCCCAAAGATATTCTGTATTCTTTTTAATACAGTTCAACATAGAAAATAGAGAGTTTAATTTTTAAGCCAAATGTAAAAACCATTCATTGGCTTTAAAAAAGAAATCTAGGCATATCAAAGAACACCATAACAGAATTGTTTGCAGAAGAATTGATAAAGATGGAACCTATTGGTTACTTTTCTCCTACCCTACACCCATAGAAGACATCACTAATTGTTCACTGTACCCTTTCCTAACAAACCAATATCACCAGTAAGATGGGGTTCAAAGAGTTGAAATCATAATCAAGGTTAAGATACAAACATTTCAGCCTTGATCTTTCATTTTCTCTGGATAGCTATTTCTACATATAACTTCCATTCAGTAATGAGTCTCCTCGTAGCTCTGACGCACGTATATTGTGACAACACAGAAATAATAATTCCAGCATTTTCTGCCCTCCAGGAAATTAGAAAGCTATTATATATTTAGCCATGCCTTGACTTTATTTTTCTACAAACTACAAACTGTCAACAAGTGATAATAAACTTTTTATGCTAGTATGCAATACTGTAATCTATGACTGAGATGGCATTTTTAATTCAACTCTAGGTTAAAAACAGGAGAAAACAGTGTGAATATAGACCTTAAAGTCTTTGTAAACGTGACAGTAATATTACAAATATCTCACAACTCCAAGTAATCAAAAATTTGCCAACCTAGAGTAATTTCCACTCACATAAATTCTACTGTGTGTATAAATACATATGTGTAAAATGTTTGACTATTACATGTGGCACATATGTTACAGATCATGAATGTTTATGAACACCTTGAATTGAAATATCAAAAGAAATTCAAAAAGTTAGAGAAGAAAATGCAAAGGTGAGTCATGCGGAGCTTTGGAAGTGCCTTGTCAGTCTTTACAAGTAGCTTTCTGCTTCTTTCCAGGATTATGACAAGGTTGATGTAAAAATCAAATAGACAGTAATTATTAAATATTTATTAAATATATCCGATAAGTCCTGTTTAAGAATAGCTACAAAATTTGCTTCTCAATATAGTGCCTTTACAAATCAAGAATACTTTAAACAGACTTGTATTGATTTATGCAGTAATCCCAGAAAATAAGTCCTTACCTCAGGAATCTGGCACTATCTAACCTTACAGTATGAGCAGCTTTAAGTCTAGCTGGCAGATTTCAAAGTAAGAAAAAATACAGTACATTGAACAAAGTCCCCAGTTCTTCTCAGATCTACATTTGAGATGTTAGAGTTTTCCATCATATCCAGGTAAATAAAATTTGGATGAAATCAATCACAGACAGGCTTAGCCTTACCTGGCAACCAGTTCAAGTATCGGAATGGACTGCCACCACTCCACTGCCAACCGCTGTTAAAACTCAGACTGTTAAGTCCAATCCAGAGTCCTGAAGTCAAGGGACTCGTCAATCCTATAGATTAAGAGACAAAACAAAACTGGCATTCAGAAAGGGCAGTGAAATGATGCTTAACTCAGTCTGTAACTGAAGGCAGCCATGGCCATCAGGCCTAGTGCATCTCCTTTCATTCTCCAAGTCATCTAAAGCACAGACCACTGTCTTTTCCATTGACAGGCAAAGAAATAGGCAGAGAGTGGAGAGGCAAACTAGTAAGACTTGTGTAACGTTTTGGCCCAGATCTAGGCGCACAGGAAGAAAATGTTCAAATGAGGAGAGGAGGAAGGGAGGGGGAGGGGAAAGAAAACAAGAAAAAACTAAAGAAGAAAAAATGGAAATAAAAGCCTTTATGAATAAGGAGGGGAGAAAGGGTTGAAGGCAGCATATGTGAATGGGGAATAAAAGAAACAGCTATATCATGTACAGGTGCAAGTGCTCTAGGATGAATGATATCTATCTATTTATCGATCGATCGATCGATCGATCGATAGATAGATAGATATAATGTAGCAATGAAATCTGATCAGATAAAAAGAACATAGGCATAAATAAGTTTCAAAACTATAAGTAATGCACAGATTAAAGAAGAATTAATCATATATTATCTAAGACTGCTTAGCTAAATTACTGTTTAGCCTGATAAAAAATAATTGTACTTCTTTTTTTTCCCCCATTACTTAAAAAAGAATAAGGTTTCAGGGTTGGGGAGATAGCTTAGTGGACTAAGTGCTTGCCTGGCAAGTGCAAGGTCCTGACTTTGATCCCTGGTACCACAGGAAAAAAAAAAGTGGGGGAGATTTCTCACTAAGCTGCCCAAGATGGGCTTGAATTTACAATCCTCCTGCATCAACTTCCCAGAATGTTGGAATTACAAGCAGACAGCACCACATCCAGTGGATTATAGCTCTTTAAGGGAAGCATTTATCTTTTGTATCCTTCATCAGATCCGGTACTTCTAAGCTAGTCTTCAATAATTAATACTTCTTAAAATGGGGTCTGACAATGGAATACTCATCTCTAACAAAGCTAAACAAAAAAAGGAAATTCAAAGGAAGGACCACTTTGTATCTGTATATACAAAATAGTTAGGATAGATATACAGCTACTTTTTCTTAATTCAATGAGAAGAAAGATTTGTATTAATAGTAATTGGACAAGATATCATGTCTGTATCTTGTACTATGAATAACCACTAAGAAGATAAAAATATTCAATGTATGAATTATTGAATCTGTCCTATTGATCGGTTCTGAAACTATCTCATTGCTGTTTCTCAATAAAATTAATTTTAAAAATGGAGCCTGATATATAATATGTGCTCAACAAATATAAATGGTTACTGTTATTATAATTATTGTCACCATTTCTATTAGCTGCACCTAGAATTAGAGTTAGCAAAAGGTATGATTTAGAAACCAAGTCGAAACTGTGTTAAATTCATCACTTAAAAAGCTGAGGGGTGTTTGCCCAGTGAGCCTGAGTTTCTAGATTCCATTGCAGCTCCACCAAACCACACAAGGGTAATGCTTAAAGCCCATGAGTCACTGCTATGGGTGTGTTAAGATGCCCCCACAGCCTCATGCATGCAGTCCCCGCGCTTCTGCTCAGGTGGCTAGATCTAGAGTGTGATTGATTGTTAGGGCAATGATGGGATTGAGGGTGCTGGAATTACGGTGGGTGATTACTGGATCAGTCCACTCACAGGATTGGCTCTGCCCTAATCCCAGCAGACTGGGTGAAATATAAGGGACAGAAAGAGGGTTGCCTCCCCTTCCCTCGCTTGCGTCTGCTGTCTTCTGCTGCCAAGAACTACTTCTCTGCTCTGCCCCTCTGCCAATGCGCCCTTCCTTGAAGCCAGCCAACTATGGACTGAAACCTCTAAAGACTATGAGCCAAAAAACCCTTCCTTCTTTAACTTTGAATGTCAGGTATTTTGTCTCAGCAATGAGAGAAAAGTAACTAAACAGTCAGCCCAATTTTTTTCCTCTAATATCTATCTATGATTGTACATAGAACCACATCAAGATTCTTTAGTGTGACCATACCAAGAGTGTGTGCATGTCCTAAATTTTTAGGTTTTCGATTTTCCTGCATGAATTGTTATATGCCAACTTGTGGACTTAGCTATGATAGGACTGTATTAATGAACAGTATCATAATGGTCTTTTTATTTGCATTTCTGCAGAGATTTAATTTATCTTCTAGGCAGTTCCTACGAAAACTTGTAAAAGCCATCAGGGTAGCAAGAAACATTTCACTTCCTGTGAATCCATATAGTAGTTATAAATCAGATTCAAAATTTAAGGATTAAATATGGTCCCAAGCTTTTGACTTTCAGGAAGGCAGACACAGAAGTAAAGATAACAAGATGGCTATGCAGACCGTAGCAGATCACATCACCAGCTTGGAATACATTTACAGAAGCAAAACATCAAAATATCACTTGTGTTTACTTTCTACGTGAGACACAGGCAGGTGAAACAGAAGACAGCTGAATTCCAGTTCAGCTACCCCTTGAAAATGAAGCATTAAGCAAGTTTCTGAGAAGAAGAATATTAATTTATAAAATGAGGATAAGACGATGTATTTACGGGGGGGTGCGGGCTTCAGTAATAAGTCCTGGTGTTTGCCACACAGCAGCTGCTCAATAGATGGTGCTGCATTTAATCTCAGAATCATCAAAATGACTAACACATTTTTAAAAAGTATTTACTTCTCAAAATTCACAGAGAAAATCAGCTTTACTGTGTGTGTGTGTGTGTGTTTCCCTCCCTCTTCTCTCCCCTCTCCTCTCCTCTTTCTCCTCTCCCTCTCCTCTCCTGTCCTCTCTCTCCTCTCCCTCTCCTTTCTCCTCTCTTCTCTCTCTTTTCTCCCCTCTCTCCTCTCTCTTTCTCTCTCCCGACCTCTCCTCCCCCCTAGGGTTTTGAATATGCTAGTCTGGAACCGATACAAATCCCCAGCCTTTGTCTTTTTAAAAAAAAAATTTTATTCATCTTAATGAGAAAAAAATAAAATAGCAATGAAACAGTTTCAAAACAGGTAAGACCGTTACAATAATTAATACATTGCGTATTGTTGTTTTCGTAGTCGTTATTCCTAGTACAAGATGCAGACATGATATCTTGTCTAAACACTATTAGTACAAACTTTTCTTCTCATTCAACTAAGAGAAAGTGGCTGTAAGTCTATCTTAACTATCTTGTATATACATATATATTTATTTTCCTACAAAATGGTCCTTTATATCCCCCTTTTTTGTTTTGTTTTGTCAGAGATGGGTGTTCTATTGCTGTTAGAGAAGCTGTATTTAGAGAAGTCTTTAAAGGACCTTTTCATACTTGATGCCAGTCCAAATATTGGAGGTGCTTGAATTCAGCAAAATAACCCATCATAGTCCAACAGTCCACAATAGTAGTGAGTTATCAGCACAACTGGCAATTGTCCAAAGTTATTGACTTGAGCCTTTTACAGCTCAGCATACTAATACAGCTTTACTTTTTATATCTCATGGTTATACTTTACTGCTGGATGGTTAAGAACACGTTGAAGCAAGGCCTTTATTTTAATTACTTTAAAAGTCTAAATATTTGTGGCTTTTCCTTTTAACAGCATATTTCCAAACAGCAGGATTACAAACATCCACTCACACCATTGTTTTCTAGATTCTTCCTCGATCTATCCTAGTTAATAGCAAATGCTCCAAATATCTTTCAGCAAAAAAAGGAATGCCTTTCCTCTATTTTATCTTTTGCATTTCCTGTCAGGCTTTTTTTTTTTTCTTCTATTACAGGATATTTTTGACTGACAGGAAGGCAGTCAGTACTCCAAAATCTCTTTAGAAAATTTACTCTTATCCAGATTGTAGCTAAAATTTGCTGACTAAAAACCTCAGAGGTTTGAATAAGATTCAGGCAACTGAGGTAAACTCAGCCCTGAATGTCTGGGATGCGTTGGCACTAATGTCACCCCAATGAGTCTAGCCAGGCAGAGTCACTATCTACTCCTATCTCTTCTTTCTTCTAGGCAGAGAAAGGAGAGACTAAAAGCTATCTATGAACTGTGTCTTGGCTCCCAGAAGGCCAGAAAACAAGTAAAAATTAGAAAAGTCAAACTATAATCTGGGCCTGGGGAGATAGCTCAGTAGAATAAGCACTTGCCTGGCAAGCGCAAGGGCCTGAGTTCAATCCCCAGTTCTGAAAAAAAAAAAAAAAAAGAAAAGAAAAGAAAAGAAACTATAATCCAAGTTTTAAACAAGAATAGGTGCCAAGTGCAGCCTTTTGGACCTTGATATGGTTTTCCACTGCACAAATGGTCTCCTTCGCACATTTATGTAAGTGTGCACAAATGACCCGAGCTTTGTCTTGAATCACTTCTTTCTATTCCTTCATCAACTACGTGAATGTATGTTCACCTCGTTCCATACCTTCTCTGTCTCTGTATTTTTATTTCTACTTAGAAATATGAGTTGCTCAGCGATTTGTCCTAGTATTAGAAGGGTCCCAAAGACCAGTACAAAACAGAGTAGCTAAGTTGACAGAGGCAGGATTTTTCCTTCAAATCTAAGTGTATGAACACACACTTTGAGGTCATCTTGTTTCTCCATGCTCTTTCCATTTAAAGACAGAGAGAAATGTGTTTCAGCAAATGACGCTTGTCATCCCCAACAGTTGGAAAAATGCCAGTACAGGGAAAGCAGGCAAGAGTGAGAACATGCTGTGGTCCCCATGTTGGGTCACGCACATTATCCCTTTAAAACCTCTGGCCACTGAGGCAAGGAAGCCTCTGGTGGGGTCCCTAAAACTGCCACCCAGTTTCAGACAGGGGACTGAGGCAGCCTGGATCCACAGTATATGCCCACGAACCCTAAATCCTGTATCAGTGGCTGGGTTCAACAGGAATCATCACAGAGTTACACCGACACAGTCCCTCAGCCTTCTGCTCCAGGATTACCTAAGAGAAGGATAAAATACAGATTCCAGAAACAGTTGCTGATCTAGAATCTCTGAAGCCAGGCCCTGGCCGCTTCAGTCTAGCAAAGTTCTCAGAAGGTGAGTAAGCGACTGCTCCTGTTCAGGCACCACACCACTTAACAGTCATCCGGCTATAACCTGTCCAGCTGTCCAAACCATGAGGCTGGATTTCTAAAGAATTTTTTCTATTTACCTGTAGTATCATTTGTCTGTCAGCAAAGATTCTCTGAGACTCTTTCTTGGAAGATTCTGTATGAATCTTCTTGCCAGGGGTAGGGGGACACAGTCATGGGATATTAGTCATTGTCAGCCTCACTATTCCACTCTTCACACAGCACTCCTTGCTTCCTGCATGGCATTTGTACTTACTCATCTGGTTTCCTGTTTATATCTGATTTCCTCATTGCTCTTTAAGCTCCATGTGGACAGAAAGGGGTCAGTTTTTGGTCCCCAAGAGCTAATGCTATGCCTGGCATACCTGGCAGTTTGTTAAATGAATGAAGAAAGAAAAAAAAATGATGCACGTATACAGATAGTCCTCACTTAATAACCTACCTGTTTAGCAATTGTTTGAACTTCTGACCCACTGCTCAGACTTACGACCTGTCTTTTATTTCTACAGTTCTGTACATCTTTATAGAGCCTTGATGTCTTTCTGGATACAGTGCACCTTTTTTATACAGTACTGTAATTTGTGCTGATAGTATTGTATAGTACAGCACAGTAGTTTTATGTCCTGGCACATATTACAGTATGACATGGAAAAGTTATGCAAATACAAGCAAAGTCATCAAGTGGGGCTTCCTTTGACCATTTCTTTGTTTGGAGTATGCTGATGGGCATCCTATGCAAAAGTCTGCATTCAGTGAGCAATTTAATGAACAAAATACAAAAACAAAACTCAGTTATTAAACAAGAGGAGTCTGTATTCTTACAGGAGAATGTATGTAACTGGCTGTTATCAAAGTGGTAAACAGATAAGAGAAATGGAAAGAATTATTTTTCCACTGTATAAAATTTGGGGAATTCCAGATTTTTTTTAACGCCATAGAAAAAGATTTGAGGGTGAGAAATATGAGACACTGAGGTCCTCCACAAAGAATGTAAGACTTGTCTTTTATCAAGATGATAAAATGCATGATGGAAACGAGAGTAAGGGCTGGGGATGTAGCTCAGTGGTAGAGTGCTTGCCCGGCATGCAGAAAGCCCTGAGTTCAATCCCCAGCACACCAAATAGACCACTGACAGCATCTTTGTGTTTAGCCATTTGTCAGGAAATGAAGTCACCAAAGCTAAACATGGCATCCACAGGGTCAGCAGTGTATGAATCTAATAGTGTCAGGGTGAAATGGGAGGAGGAAATTCTGAAAGTGGTCAACAGGATGTGGTTCTCCCAGTACAGATTTCTCATTGTGAACTCTGCCTCCCTAAGTTTGATTTTTAGAAGCTAAAACAGATACTCTTTTCTCAAGCAAACATTTTCATTTTTTTTGTTTGTTTGTTTTCTTTCTTTTTTCTTGTTGGGGGGTTGGATACAGGGAATCAAACTCAGGACCTTGCGCTGACCAGACAGATACTGTGCCACTGACCTACATCCACAGCCTTACCTTTTCTAATCTTTATAAGCTTACAACAGATGCCTAAGCATATTGCGGAAAGGATATTGATAAGATGTGAAAAATTATGGTGTCCAAAAATTGAGGAGACGGGAGGTAGAGAGGACTCAGGACTTCAGAGTAGTTCCTGACAGGTCTCTGCTGACAAGAGCAGTATCTCATTTAATCATTTCAAATTCTATGATGCTAAAGAAAGACATCCAAATTCCAGGGAGACCTGTCTACTGGCTACTTGACTGGCATGGTGCCACTGCTCGCGTCTAAGAGCAATATCACTCATCAGTTATGGCCAAGAAATCTTCAGGGTCCTTTGTGGAACGGGCTCTAGGAACAGCCACAACCGACAGAACAAAGTTGGTGCAGGAAACAAGACCTACTTCCCTTCCTTGGGGTCAGGTTCAGGGTGGAGATCTGTCACATCATCTGCACTCTCTGTTTAGGGAACACCTCCACCATGATGCCTAGAATCACTGGTGCTGCCTACTTTTAAGTTATGTAGAAATAAGCAATCATAATCCTATTTATACCTTATATTACCTGTTAGGTAGGTCTGCTCATGAATCTCCGTGATACTCAAGAGCTCAGCGTCCTGCTGTTGGCAGCTTTTCCTTGCCTGTTGCCATGTCAATGCAGATTTGGAGTTGATCTGGTAAAGGATGCTCGTCAGTGGGTCTTTAGTCCACAATCTTTCACTGCCCTCAACTGCAAAAAAAAAGTAAAATGGAAATGTCTGAGTTAGATGTTGGAAACACTTTCAAGGAAAGTGTTTAATTTTTTAAAATCTATTTATTTATCCACATATACAAAAGGATGCAACTTGAAGATATACACATGAAGTGGAATAAACCAGACCCAAATGTGTAAATAGCATATAGTCTCCCCAGTGTAAGAACTCAAAAGAAGAAATAAAAATTGAAAGGTATAACATAACACAACTAAATGGAAAGCAAGAACTTAAATATTAAACAATAAAGAGAGGGCAAGGAGAAAAGCTAGGAAACATGGCAGGGGCAAAACCATAAATTTATATGCACAATATGGTTAAGGCAATGATCCTGAGACTCTCCATCAGGTTTTTGAAACTAGCAGTTAATTGGTAGTATTCTCACCCTGACTAACTATGTATACTGATACCTGTGAACTAAGCAACTGCACCAAGGATAGCAAAGTGTAACACTAGGGTCATGCTTGGAATGCCTGTCATTCTGGTCTTCTAAATGTGTACTGCTTCTAATGTCATATCAATTATTGCTATACTCTCTCTCAAGTAAATGTTTGTTTTTTAAAAAAGGTAATAAAAGAAAACAAGAGATAAGAAAAAATGTCATAAGACTGTCCTGCTACAATGCTATATATGCTTAGATTTCTAAATTTCTGTGCAAAAATGTGTAATTGTTTATTTTTATTTATTTTTTTCACATTCTATAGGGATTTAAAGTTTAGCATATCAATGATTGTTGGAAAATACTTGTTCCATGTTATGTCTAAGGCATTTGATATTCAGACAGGCAGGGATGGTAAGCTCAACTGCCTCTGTTATAGGGTAATAATATCATTAAGTTTCTCTTCTGGAGGGTTTACAACTTATGTTTGCAGACCAAAAACCTAGAGAAAAAGAAGGGCTATAAGGATAGCCAACATTTTGGCCCTAGCCCTTTAAGGTCAGTGAGAACTCAAGACATAAGAGAACCTATACTGTAACATCCTGTAACTCAGTGGTGTCCCAAATTTTCTGCTCAAGGAGATTAAGGGTCCACAGAGGAAA